GAGAGAGAGAGAGAGAGAGAGAGAGAGAGAGAGCTACTTTTCTCAGAGGAAGAGCACTTACAAGCCAGGCAAAGTCCCTGTTGAGGACTACAATAGCAAGAAGTTGGAGGTGGATGAGAGAGAATCATAGAGAAGGCTATGTTCTAGCAAAAGGACCAAAGAATTTGAACTTGGGATTGTTTCATAAGCTCTGGGTGTAGGATCCCATTCAAATAACTCTCACCACTTAATAACTATCTTTATTGTTCATACTAGGATGATGTGGAAATGAGGTCAAAACAAAGAAACAGACTTTGAGTTCAGGATGCTTTATAGTATTTCTAGGCATGGGCAAAGGCCCAAGATTTGTCATCTGGCCCTTTCCTAGTCCTCAATCCCTCAAAAAAAAAAAAAAAAAATTCCCCTGCCCCCACCTCCACTTCCTTATTCCCGTAGTGGAAGAATAGTGGAGACTTTTGGACTTTGGAGATTCAGTGTTCCTTTTTGTCTGACATAGAGGCAGGCTGTCCATCCAAATGTATTTCTTTTTTTCTTTTTCTTTTTGGTTTTCCGTGACAAGGTTTTTCGGTGTAGTTTTGGTGCCTTTCCTGGACTCGCTCTGTAGACCAGGCTGGCCTTGAACTCACAGAGATCTGCCTGGCTCTGCCTCACAAGTGCTAGGATTAAAGGCGTGTGCTGCTGGGCAGTGGTGGCGTATGCCTTTAATCCCAGCACTGGGAGGCAGAGGCAGGCAGATCTCTGTGAGTTCGAGGCCAGCCTGGGCTACAGAGTAAGTCCAGGACAGGCACCAAAACTACACTATGCAGAGAAACCCTGTCTCAAAAAGCCAAAAAAAAAAAAAAAAAAAGGTGTGTGCCACTGCCGCCGCCGCCTGGCCCAAATGTATTTCTGCTGCTAAAATTAGTGTATATGAGAGTTGGGAGGTTCCCAAAGCACCACATAATCTTTGATCAGAGCACAGTCCAAGCAGGGACTGCCTGTTTGCATGAGAGGTATGGACTAACCCTTTTAAAGTTGAGGATAGAGCTTTTTGTTTCAAAGACCTAGTAACTCCTTTGTGACAGTCCTTTCATCCTTAACTGCAAACTCCGTGTCCCCTGCCCTCCAGTTTTGCTGCCGTTTATTTAGCTTGCTGCATCTAGAACTGTGTGTATAGAGTAAGAAGCTAAAGAGGAAGAAATCAAGTTACCCAGCCTCAGGTTTGTTCTTCCTAGCTGTGTGACCCATTACCTCTTTTGGGTCTCAGTTTCTTCATCTATGAAACATGCAGTCTACCTCACCAGGCTGTGAAGATTCCATGATTATACCTACCTTCATGAAGTACCTGGTTAGGAGAATGGCTCAATAAGCCTCAGTTCTCAAGTCTGGAGTCCTGTTGGTTGTATCATTCAGAAAGCATCATGGCAGCTCACAGATCAGTCCCTAAGATTACAGAAATGAACTAGACACTCCTGGAGTAGACTATTGTCCCATAAAGGCAATGGATCAGTAATAAGAGATGCTGGCATTGGAGAAGGGTTTTTGTCGCCTGGAGCAAATCTGAAAAGTGTGACCCAGGTGATGTCTAATGAACAGCTCTGGCTCCTCAAGATGGGTAGGAGAAACTTACTCCAAACAGGAGTAACTAAAGAAATGATTCTTGATGTGTTCCCATCAACAGCACTTCAAAAAACCCACCCCAAGGTTTGAGTTGAATACCTGAGCATAGCACATACATATTTGGCACTCAATAAATAGTTATGATTGGTTACTATTGACTTTTGGCTCTGTTACAATGAGTGAGTGTAAATGTTCTACTCATACCTGTGTATGTGTGTTAAGCATATGGCACAGATGAGTATTGAAGCAAAATTTCTTAGGGGAGTTGAAAGCTGACTTCTCACATAGCAGATAACCCCTGGGTGTACTCTCTTAACTCCAGAAAATAACAAAACAAAATTTCCTGACGAAACATAGAAGCAGATCTCAGAAGCAAGAGGGATGGGCTTAATCCAACAGATAGCATTATCCAAGTATGTGACCAGCTTTTAGGCCAGAAAGCCAAACATTTGTCTGGCCCTGTCTGTGTATGTTTAAACTGATACAAAATTTCAATCAAACTGCACATTCAAATTTAGATTTCTAGTTTTTTCTGTTTGTATAGTTAAAGAAAAGATAAATCCATCAATGTTTGATCTTTTTAGGATTTATTTTTATGTGTCTGTGCTGAGGTGAGTTGGTGTGCACCATCATGGCCAGAGGGGATTGGATTCCCTGGGACTAGAGTTATAAGCATTAATAGCCTGATGTTGGTGCTGGGAACCAAACTCAAGTCCTCTGCAAGAGTGGTAGGCATTCTTAACTGCCGCCCAACATAAGATCTTATAGAACAATGATGTGTTTGGTAGTGGCTGTCCCATCATTCTTGTATTTCTGACTCAACATGAGGACTTTTTCTTACTCTTCTGACCCTACAGAAGCCACTGGGGATAATACCCAAACACTACCATGTAGAGAAGGACCCTTCATAGATTGAAGCCGAAATGTCCCCTTTACCCATTTGTATCCTCATCCTACTATTTCCTTCCTCCCCCTCCCCTAACACTGCTCAGAGACTGACCTGTCCTCCTTCTGAGTCTGGCTATCCCCTCACCCAGGTTATCACTCCTTAAGCCTCTTTCTCTGAAAGCAGACATGGGCAGAGCACACAGACTAGTCAAGGCAAACTCCTGTGTGCCTTTGTTAAGAGGTCTAAGTATTGAACCCTGGTTGATTCACTGAGAGGTTGTGGGAATCCAGCAAATACAGAAGCACTCTATTAGAGTTTAAGTAAACCGGGGAGTGTTGAAGTGGCCCTTGGAATGGCCCAGCTCCTGTCTAGTTCTAGACATGGAATAGAGTCAAGTGCTGGCATCAGGTTGTCTCGTGTGATCCTGATGGGGTATACAGAGACCCACGTGCCTGGCAGCTGGAGTCCAGACTACCTGTAAGCTCATCTGCTGTGGCAGGACTTCTGGGAGGTCTGCTTACTCTCTTCCCAGGTCATTCCCCTCCGTGTACTGTAGGAGGGCAAGGCCTGGATCTATGCTGTCCCCGATGAGTCTCAGCAATCCCACCATGGGACAGACAGCCCTGAAGAAAGGCCGCATGATGTACAGTTTCTCTTCTCTAAGATTTGGGTCCATCTCCTAAGTGAATTGAGGAAAAAAGCCAGTTTGAAGAAAGGATGAGGGTGGGCTGGCTTAGGGCAGACATCCTTCTCTTATCTCAGTCATGTAGCTGCAGGGCTAAGGATCCCAGAGCTCTTAATGTCAAAGGGTGGGGACAGGTAAATCTCCAGACATGCTCAGATTCAGGGACCAGTTGGAAACAGAATGGTGGGCAGATGCAATGCCAGCAAAAAAGTTTCATGCCTAACATGGTGGTACATACTTTTAACCCCAGTACTCCAGGAGACAGACAAGCAGGCAGATCTCTTGTGTTTGCAGCCAGCCATTATGGTTTACCTAGTGAGTTTCAAGCCAGCCAGTGAGACCCTATACTTAAAAAGAAAAAAGAAAGAAAAAGAGAGAGAGGGAGGAAGGAAGGAAAAGAGAAGGAAGGAAGGAAGGAGAGAGAGAGAGAGAGAGAGAGAGAGAGAGAGAGAGAGAGAGAGAGAGAAAAGAAACAAAGAAGGAAAGAAAGAGAAGAGGCTTTAAGACTTTCTGTTCCAAGCTACCCATGAAGGGTAGGGTTGAAGTCTTCAGCAACAAGTCCAGGAACATGGTATACCATATGTTGTAGTAAGATGTTCCTGTCATCCCATCCCTCCTGTGTGTGATGATCTGAGTACATCAAAAGTGATTCTGGCTTAGAGCCTGGACCTCAAAGTTTTTGTTTCTGACTCCTGAGTAGAGCCTTGAGTCTCCTTTCTTCCCATTGCTTCCCCCACATAGCTGTTCAGAGTCATGAACATGTTGCCTCTTATTTCCCTTAACCCCAGACCCACATCATTCCCATACCACAACTGTTAAGAGTTGGAAGGTTGGAGAGAGGAGGAAGTTCCATTTGGGGTCATGACTGTGAAGAATGTGGGAATGAGAACTTCTATTCAGCATGGAAAGATACTGTTAGCAACAGCTCTGGCCCAGAGGCTCACAGTATTTCCTGAGATATTGACCACAAGAAGCCATGATTGGAATCACAATATACATAGCTCAGAAACACTGTCACCAGAGAACCCTGGGGTCCTTTTCTGGACATGGTCCCATGTAGCAGGCTTTCTTGGACCACCAGACCCCAAATCATGACATGGAGATTTATTAATTATGAATGCTCAGCCTTAGCTTAGGCTTGTTTCTAGCTAGTTTTTTTAAATTTAAATTATCTCATTTCTATTAATCTATGTGCTTCCCTGAGGCTTGTTTACCTCATGTACATACTGTCCATCCTGCTTTCCTGCTTCCTCTGTGTCTGACTGGCTGACACCCCTTTTCTCTCTGTCCATCAACCCTGCCTATCCCTCCTCTGCCTACCTATTGGCCATTCAACTTTTTATTAAACTAATCAGGTGCCTTAGGCAGGCAAGGTAAAACAGCAACACATCTTCACATAATTAAACAAATGTAGCATAAACAAAAGCAACACATCATTACATAGTTAGACAATTATTCTGCAACACAAACAAATATAACACATCTTTACATAGTTAAACAAATATTCTATTCCACAATAACCCTGTCTAAAAAAGGGGGTCAGTTGAAAGGGAGAGAGGGGTGAGACTGTAGCTCATTGGCAGTGCCTGCCTTGCAGATCCTACTTTTCAATCTCTAGTGTAAAAAAAAAAAAAAATCTACAAACTCAAATAGTATGACAGTTTGGGAATGTTTAATTTAAAGACATTCATTTATATACCAAAAAT